ATTAGTCTCAGTGCCCGCCAGGGGTCGCTGTAGAGCGCCACGGTGCGGAGGTTGTGGGGGCGGTGCTGGATCACATCTCTGGCTAACGTGCTTCCACATCTTTTTCTTTGCTGTCCTCACTATGGGTCCTCTTTAGCTGCAGTGCTCACACACGCACCCCTGGCTGGGAATCACTTGCAGCCCTAGGATCACAGGCTTCAGAGCTGCCGGCTTAAGCTTGGGGCGTGTGGAATTGAGCTTGGCCGACTTTTGCTTGCCAGGCAGTTGCTTTAGACACAGAGTCACCTTCTGAGACTGTATTTTTTCACAGTGCTCATAGGAGATCAGAGGAGAAAGGCTGAGGAGACAAATGGAAAGCTCTCTACATTTAATAGAATTGTTGATCACTGAAGGAAGCACATATTTTACTAGAGCATCAAGGGTGATATGAGACACGTTGCTGTCTGCTCTTGGCCCACTGATAAAAATCTCATTAAATTTCTCCCTGTGCCCTGCATGAATGTATAATGACATGTAGAAGAGAGCAAAAACCAGGGCGAGTGCAACAGCACAGCAGATAGAAGGCTCTTGCCTTGTACTCATCTGATCTAGGTTTGATCTCTGACATCCCATACAGTCCCCCTCACACCGCCAGGAATGATCCCTGAACACAGAGCCAGGAGTAAGCCCCTGAGCATAGCCCAGTTTAAAATCAACCAACCAACCAACCAACCAACCAACCAACCAACCAACCCATCAAAAAAGAGCACAAACCATCAAAACAAAACAGCCTGCCCGCTGGTGCTTCAGGGAGGTAAACCCAACTTCTTTTGATCCTGTATATTTCTGGTAGGAACTAGTTCCTTGAAATTATGACTCATACATTCAGTTTGTGGTACCTGCTGCTTCTTAACTCTTAGCCTCTGAGAAACAAACATTTTCCTCTGCCTCTGTCTTTGCGTCATGTTTATTAAGGAGGAAACTCTTCCCTTGTCTTGCCTTCATATCATTGGCAGAGCTTAGATTTGCAGCCACTAAGAACATTCCCCCCGGGGTTTCCCCTGAGGAGAGATTATGGCTAGGGACTAGGCAGCTGATGAAGTGCTTGAGGCACAAGAGATCACACTGGCTTTCCTGGGAATATTGATCAGGGGTCCCAATTTACAAGAGGCCTTTGTCAACTTTTTATTACCTTGTTTGTGCTGGGACAATATGGACTTTCCAGTGACATAGATTAGAAGTGGACCTGTGACTTTGGTGTCTCATTTCTGTGGGAGACTGCAGTTCTTTATCACCTGTGGCACTGAAGGTCATTACCTATCTCCACAATCCTGACAGGGCTGCCTCTGGATCTCAGGAATCTATAGCTTCTGCACCAGACTTGCCAGAGCAAGGCTTGTTCATTTAGAATCAAGTTGAAGTAGATAAGCCTTTGAAGATTTGAGCTTCTGTATCTGAAAGCAGTTTTAGAAGGCTCAGAAGTGACTATCCTATGAGTAGTGATGGAAAAATCAAATTAGTAAGAAGACAGACGAAAAAGAGAGAATGGTAGTGAGAATGGTTTGATTGATATAAATAAAAACTAAATTTCCTGAGAAAGTGGAGATGGTATTAGAAAATGCTAGAGTGGCAAGAGGCACTCAATAGCTAATTGGAGCCTGAGAGTCAGAAACAGCTTTGGCAAAGGGTCAAAAATGTGCAAAGGGATCGGGAAAATAGGACAGCAGGTAGGGTACTTGCCCTGTACACAGAGACCCAGGCTCAATCCCTGGCATCTCATATGGGTCCCCGTAAACACCACCAGGACTAATTCCTGAGTACAGAGCCAGGAGTGACCCCTGAGAACCACAGACTGGCCTAAAAACAAAAAAGTGCAGAAACCTTTTGTGACTAGATTTTGAACATCCACTAAAAATAACTCACTGGATTGTCCTGCAACTAAGAAAGAAGGAGAAAAACAAATAGTAATGATCTGGTAGGAACTAGTTCCTTGAAATTATGACTCATACATTCAGTTGATGAGAATTGTGATGGAAAAGGGTTTAGTTGGGAAGTGGTAAACAAGGACCAGAATATCCCCAATTCTCCAATTTTTCAATTGGAAAAATTGGGGGAAAACAAACAAAAAAACCAGCCAAAAGAAAAAGAAGCTGGTATCTTCTTGGTATTGGGAATAGAGGATGATCTGTTTCTGCCTAGAAAAAAAGGTTAAGTACAGCGGTAGGGCATTTGCCTTACACGCAGCCAACAAGGCTGACCCGAGTTCGATTCCTCTGCCCCTCTCGGAGAGCCCGGCAAGCTACTGAGAGTATCTCGCCTGCACGGCAGAGCCTGGCAAGCTCCCCATGACGTATTCGATATGCCAAACACAGTAACAACAAAGTCTCCAATGGAGACGTTACTGGGCCCCCTCGAGCAAAGTGACAATAAGAATAAATGGGAGTTTAATATACAACCAGAAACAACAGCATTTAAAAAAAATTTTTATTAGTGAAACACCATGAGGTTGTAGATTTACAGATTTTTGTGCTTGGGTTTCAGTTATAGAATGATCGAGTACCCATCCCTCCACCAGTGCCCATTCTCCACCACTACTAATCCCAGTATCCCTCCAACCCCCCATCCCCCCATCCCACTATGCCTCTGTGGCAGGGCATTCCCTTTTGTTCTCTCTCTCCTTTTGGGTGCTGCGGTTTGCAAAAGAGGCATTGAGTGGCAATCATGTTCAGTCTATAGTCTACTTTCAGCATGCATCTCCCATCCTGGGCAGATCTTCCCAATACCCTTTTAGCCCAACGCTAAAAAAAGCAAGGTTTAGGATGAATAAAGAATGTTCAGCAGTGGAAGTTTTCCTGAATAACCAATGTTATTGGCTATATGGTTCAAGAAAACATTACACTGGCAGGCTGCATCTGCCAAGTGAGAAACTAAATGGAGGACAATAAGAAGATAGGAGAAAACACTCAAGCAAACACGAAATGATCCAGCATTCAGTACGATTTATTGACACAAAGTCCTTGATTGGTGTAGGAGCAAAGCGGTGCCATGGGAACCTGGTTGCTATATTTCTTGAGGTTACAACTATGGCTTTTCAAAACCACTTACACAATCTGGAACATTTCTTACAGTGGAGGTGAAACAAAAATAAACACTCAAAATTTGCATATATTTTTAAAGCAAGAAGTTATGGTGAAAGTAAAAGTCCATTCTAAGAGGGAAAGTTATGATGAGCCCCCAAATACCAATGTGATAATATGAAAGAAGGCCCTATATTTTAATGATATCCCTTTAAAACAGAGAAACAATTAATCTCCCCCTAAAAAGTAGTTTTACACAAGTTACACAAAGTTATACAAGAATTATGTTTTCTTTGCTTTTCATTTGGTGGTCATGTCTGGTTGTGGTCAGGATTACTCCTGGCTGTGCACTCAGGGACCACTCCTGGCAGAGATCAGAGGATAATATGTGATGCCAGAGATAGAACATGGGTTGGCTGCATGCAAGGCAAGCATCTTAGCTGCTGTACTATCACTCCTAAGCACTAGATTTTATTTCTACAGTTTCTGAAATGAGACACATAAAAAAAATCTTCACTATAATAAAAATTTACCCCAATACATAATACTTAAAATTATACTAAGCAAATATACAGAATGATTGTTCTTGGAAGACAATAGAGTGTAAGATAGAAGATTATAAAATATAATAGTTTTCAATCAAATGGTTAAGAACAAAAAGAAAAGCCAAAGACCAGAACCATCCTAACAATTTACAGTTATCTCTGTATCTTAATAAACAGAACAAATCTACTTTGGATAAGGCATCGCTTTATCATTTCTCAGAGAATAAGGCACACCATTACAGCATTACATATCACAGTTTCTAAAAAAGAAAATTTAAAGACAGCCGAGGGTCCAATATGCTACCAACAAAGCTGCTGCATTTAAGGTTTTTCTACCAAAATGACAAACTTTAAAAATGTGACACTTAGAGCAATTAAATTCTCCTTCGCTAATAAATGTTAATATTTTTAACAGATAAACTTGAATCAACACAGAAAATAGTCAATTTCTAAAATCTATTTTGAAGATGCCTCCCCTCAGACTCATTAAAATAAATTAACTGACACTCCGTCCTTCATGCTCTTAACCATTGTAAACTTACTTGAAGGTTAACAGCTCTGAATTATAGAATTTTAGAGGAGGAAGAGATCTTAATGAAAACCTTCCATTTCCTTAATGAGGAATAAGAGGTCCAGGGAATTTATGGAAATTGCATAAGGTCAGATGTAGTTAGTGACAAAATCTGGATCAGCCCTTTGTTCTATTGCCCTATTATCCATCATTTCCGTTTTTATAAAAAAAAAATTAACTGATACATTTTAGAATAGTATGTACAAACTGATTGCAGTTCACACAATTTTAATGGCACATTCTATTTAAAATGACATTATTGCTAAGTCCTTTACATGTGATTTAAAATTCCATAACTATGCTCAAATATCATTATTATGTTAAATTGGAAGAGGCTGAGCCACACTTGGTGGTCCTATGGTCTATTGGCTCATTGTTCAGAGGTTGCTCCTAGCATGGGTTGGGGGCCCAGTGTGGTATCAGGAATTGAATCTGGTTCTTGCATATGCAAAGTATGTGCTCCAGACCTCTAAACTATCTTTCCAGGCCAATCTTTTGCCAATTTTAAATATTTTGTTAGATTTAATTATGATTTTCAAAATAATAGTTAAAACCATGAGATTCTTAGTGAAAAAAAACAAGATGTTACTAGAGCTAAAATTTACAGTTATTATTTTCTAAAGTAACTTTAGAAACAATAACCTAAATCTAGTATTATTTTCTTTTATAAATATTATGATTTAAAAATACTCTGAAACTGTGTTAGTCAATCACAACTCACTAATGTACTATGGAAACTAAATTTTAGTTAGTATAATATAGAATAAATAAACAATATTATTCACATATCTTAGTCACATCTCTTTTATTTTACTTTTAAGCCGCACCTGGTGGTGCTCAGAGCTTATACCTGGCTCTGCCAGGGACCATATGAGGACCTGGGGATTGAACCGGGTTGGCCACATGCAAGGCAAGCACCCTGCCTGCTGTATTGCGCCAGCCCCCTCACAATCTCATCTTATTCAACTTTCTCGTTATTTTAATATCTCCTGAAAAAGTGTGTTCAAATATGAACTAACCTCCCATTAATTAGTCACTAAAATTCTGAGTTATTTTTCAACACAAATAGACTACATCAACAATACACTTTCAGAAACATAACTAGATGCTAATCTAATACCTTATAGCTAAAGAGAATAGTAAAAATACGGCATAGCATAAGTGATTGTCTAAAATTGCACTATAGTGTTTTAGAAGAAAGAATGATAATTATTAAGATTTAATTTAAATTTGCTTTAATGTTAGCTACTTTTAACTGTCCTGTCTGAACTATTTGCTTCTCTAAGTCAGCCACATGGTTTACCTTAGACATCAATACGAATTCCATGTTTGGAAGACATAATTTGTCTGGTTCCTGTTAAGTACATAACAAATGAACAGATGTGAGGTAAAGATGCTGTCATTATTACATAAAGCCAGAATGGCAGAGGAGAAGTTTTTCCAAATGGGCATATCCACAAGCCATGACGAATTCCGTCTCGAATATGGTGTGAGGTCCAGGATAGAAATAACATCCAAGGGAGGAAGCACCAAGAGTCTTTGAGCTTGAGAATGTGCATAATAAACTTCAGGGTCAGGGCCACAACAGGTATCACAGTAGAACAGTGAAGGAAAGGTCTTCGTGGAAGATTCAAAGCAGCCTGGGGTGGGGAGGGATAGAGTGAAGAGTAATTGGAATTATTTCCATCTTGGCCAACTTCTTGGTATTTTATAGATTCATCTTAATAATGCAAAACACTCCCCCAATTTATTAGAAAAACAAGGGAAACATTTTCTATGCCACCTCTAAATGAATGCAGGTACTGAGCTTGATATATTGAACACAGGTACTACATTTGTTATATGAGTCCAAGAGGAAAAAGCGTGAGTAGGATGGTGAGGGAGATGCTCAAAAGCTGGCATGTAGGAGCTCCAGGTTCAATCCTCTCCCTGGCACATGGTCCTCCCACCCATCCCTAAGCACAGAGCCAGAAGTAGCCCACAGCATTTCCAGGGATGCCCCCGCCCACAAAAATCGAGAACGAGCAGGATATCTTTTGCATTAAGTGAAAGCAAAATTTCAAACCTCCAGACATGGAAGTTTCCTATTATCTGCCTAGGGAAAAAAAATCAAAATCAAAATCTAGGGGCTAGCAATAGATAGTACAGTGGGTAGGGCATTTGCCTTGCATGTGGCCAAACTAGGTTCGATCCCCAGCATCCCACATGGTCCCCCGAGCACTGCCAGGAGTGAGTACTGAGCACAGAGCCATGAATAACCCCTGAGCATCACTGGGTGTGATCCAAAAAGCCTAAATAAGTAAATATTTTTTTAAAAAAACCAACAAATGTAATTTATATCCAAATGTGAAGTCTATGTAATTTTATGTTTGTAAAGAATTGTCTGGGGTGTAAGAATGTTAAAATTTCTTTCACATTCAATAAAACATCCTTCAGTAAGTTATCATAGGACCATTTTTGTTATTTTTATTATAAACACTTTACATTAGCCTTGGAAATATTCAGAATTGGCAACATCTGAAAAGATTCCATTATGTGGCTGAGTGGCTACATTCCTGCATGCACGTGTGAGGCCCTGGGTTCAGAGTGCTGACACTTGGAAAGAAAAAAAAAACAACTAGAAAGATGATATTATTTCACATAAGCATTAAAATGAGAAATTAAGATCAACAAGAAAAACTGTTCTGCTTATGCCATTACTAGGATTTAAACTCGGGTCTTCTACTTAGAATTTTAAACATCAATATTATATATCTCATAGAACAAAACTCAAAATTAGACTGTAGTTTTACTAACCAACTTTCCAAATAAGTGAGACAATCTCTGAGAAATACTTGATACAGTATTCGAAACAAGAGGAAAAAGCGACAATTTCTCAGTCACTAAACAAATATATACCAAACACCTACTGAGTCAGGCAGTGTTCTAAGCCAGTGGTAAAATCCTTACCCAAAGTTTTTGTGAGTCTGTGTTTCTTCCCTGAAATGTTTAGAGATCATAAACATAAAAGTAGGCGAATCTGCTAGTACTTAGAAAATAATATCAAACCACTACATTAATCTTTGTTCTTCGGGGGCAGAGGGTGTGGAGACTACATTAACAGTGCTCAGGGCTTACTCCTGACTCTGCAATCACGTATTACTCCTGGTGGGGCTCAGGGAACTACATGGGATACTATGAGTAGAACCTGGGTCAGCCGTGTGAAAGGCAAGCGCACTACTCACTCTACTATTTCTCTGTCCTCAGCCTCGGTTCATTTTTTAATTCCTGAAGACTCAATGAAATTCCTCGATTTCTCCACTAGGGACATCCTAATTGAAATGTTTCCTTTTGGATCCCAGAGGGACAGGGGAAATGAATCCATCAGAGGCCTACCAGGAACTGGGAATGATTTTGAGCACGTAGGAGCTGCACTCTAAGTGTGAAGCATAAAAGCAGGGGCTGGAGCAATACCACAGCGGGTAGGGCGTTTGCCGTACACGTGTTTGATTTCCAGCATCTCATATGGTCCCCTGAGCACCGCCAGGAGTAATTCCTGAGTGCAGAGCCAGGAGTAAGCCCTGTGCATCACCAGATGTGACCCAAAAAAGAAAAAAAGAAAAAAAAACAAAAACAAAAAACATAAAAGCAAAGGACAAAGCATGCCCATGAAAAGAGAACAGCAACACAAAGAAAAAAACTAAGAGAGTTTGTGAATAACATCCTGCCCCTCCTGCTGCCCGTTTTTTTTTTTTTTTTGTCTTGCTTTTTGTTTTTGAGCTGAACCTGGTGGTGCTCAGGAAGTTCAGGGCTTACTTATGGCTTTGCACTCAGGGACATACTACTGGCGGTGCTTGGGGACCATATATGCTGCTGGGAACTGAACCAGTCAGTCATGTGAAAGGCAACCCAAAACCCTATACTATCTCTTGGGTCCCCACGGCCTTGTCCTTGTTGTCATCCTCCTCCTTTTCCTCCTCCTCCTCCTCTTCTTCCTCTTTCTCCTCTAGGGAAGTACTAAGTGCTAGAAAGAGTTGAAATGACTGGGCTTTACATTTCTCTTTTCATCGATGCGCTGTGAGGGATCAAATCCATGTCTCATGCGAGTGAAGCATGCAACTTTACCACTTAGCCACTTCTTGGCCTGGCCCATTTTTTTTTTTTTAATTTATTTATTGAATCACTGTGGGAAAGGTTACAAATCTTTCAGGTTTATGTCTCAGTCATGCAAATATCAAACACATTTCCCTTTACCAATACTTATTTTTTACCATGAAGAACCCCAATAAAACCCCACCCCCACCCCTCCCCGTCCCTGTGAGGCAGATGAATTCTAGTTAACACTCTATCTGCTTTGATTAGATTCACCGTCTCAACAAAAGATTCACCACTTTCATCTAGAGTCCATCCCCCCCCCCCCCCCCCCCAAACCAGACACGCTGAAAAAGCATTGCGAAGTGATTTGCCTTCTACAGCTGGGCTCAAGAATTAAATGTTGGTTCTGGACCCCTGCCATTCTACCTATTGACCCTGGAAGTATTTCTACCGAAAGTCAGATAGTTAAGAAATTGGTTTCTGTGCTCTGGAGTCGTGGCCGTGCTGGAGAGCCGCTCGCGGGGGGCAACCGGTGGCCTCGGTAGGGCGCGAAGGGCAGAGCGAAACGCCCCCCTTCTCATGAAGCTCCAGTCGCCCCCACACTCCCAGCTCATACCCGCCGTCCACAAGGCTCCCATGTGGCCGCCATCTCTCCTTCCAGAGAGGAGAGGGCGAATGGGGCAACACCCTTTCCCCTCCGGCAGACTTGATGGCCTGGATCAACGCATAGTCTGTTCACCTTTCTGCTCCAAGCCGCTGGGTTCTGCATTAAGTCCTTGTGCTTCTGGGGCCATGGCCGTGCCGGAGAGCCGCTCGCGGGGGGCGACTGCTGACCTCGGTAGGGCGTGAAGGACGGACCGGAACGCCCCCCTTCCCATGAGGCCCCAGTCGCCCCCACACCCCCGGCTCATACCTGCTGTCCACAAGGCTCCCATGTGGCCGCCATCTTTCTTTCCAGAGAGGAGAGGGCGAATGGGGCAACACCCCCTCCCCTCCGGCAGACCTGATGGCCTGGATCAACGCATAGTCCGTTCACTTTTCTGCTCCAAGCTGCTGGGTTCTGCATTAAGCCCTTGTGCTTCTGGGGCCGCGGCCGTGCTGGAGAGCCGCTCGTGGGGGGCGACTGGTGACCTTGGTAGGGCGTGAAGGACGGACCGGAACGCCCCCCTTCCCATGAGGCCCCAGTCGCCCCCACACCCCCGGCTCATACCTGCTGTCCACAAGGCTCCCATGTGGCCGCCATCCTTCTTTCCAGAGGGAGGAGGGCGGAAGGGAGCAACACCCTTTCCCCTCTGGGCAGAAATGATTGCCTGGATTAACGCATAGTCCTTTCACTTTTCTGCTCCAAGCTGCTGGGTTCTGCATTAAGCCCTTGTGCTTCTGGGGCTGTGACCGTGCTGGAGAGCCGCTCGTGGGGGGCAACCGGTGACCTCGGTAGGGCGTGAAGGACGGACCGGAACGCCCCCCTTCCCATGAGGTTCTAGTCGCCCCCACACTCCCGGCTCATACCTGCTGTCCACAAGGATCCCACGTGGCCGCCATCTTTCTTTCCAGAGAGGAGAGGGCGAATGGGGCAACACCCTTTCCCCTCCGGCAGACTTGATGGGCTGGATCAACGCATAGTCCTTTCACTTTTCTGCTCCAAGCTGCTGGGTTCTGCATTAAGTCCTTGTGCTTCTGGGGCCGTGGCTGTGCTGGAGAGCCGCTCGTGGGGGGTGACTGGTGACCTCGGTAGGGCGTGAAGGACGGACCGGAACGCCCCCCTTCCCATGAGGTTTCAGTCGCCCCCACACCCCCGGCTCATACCTGCTGTCCACAAGGCTCCCATGTGGCCGCCATCTTTCTTTCCAGAGGGAGGAGGGCGGAAGGGAGCAACACCCTTTCCCCTCTGGGCAGAAATGATTGCCTGGATTAACGCATAGTCCTTTCACTTTTCTGCTCCAAGCTGCTGGGTTCTGCATTAAGCCCTTGTGCTTCTGGGGCTGTGGCCGTGCTGGAGAGCCGCTCGCGGGGGGCGACTGCTGACCTCGGTAGGGCGTGAAGGACGGACCAGAACGCCCCCCGACCCATGAGGTTTTAGTCGCCCCCACACTCCCGGCTCATACCTGCTGTCCACAAGGCTCCCATGTGGCCGCCATCTTTCTTTCCAGAGAGGAGAGGGCGGGCCCATTTGTTTTTAAATAAGGCTAATTACAGTGCCAGGAGTAAGTCCTGAGCAAAGTTACACGTGTGCCCCCCCCAAAATATAAATTAATAATCAGATGAAATTAAATCAGGCTGACCTCTAGTTGTCAAAACCAATCCAATGGAAGTAAAGAAATTAAAAGACCAGAAAAATGAAACATTGAAGCTCTTACCTTTAGAGAAAGGGATCCAGCTAGGAAAAAGTGGTCTATGTCAATAACAGAGGCGAGAAGTCCAGCTAAAATGATTTCTCCAATGTCAGTCTTCTTCTTGATGCCAATGACAACTGCCCAGGACCACATACCAATCACACAGTGCACTGCATTATCTGACAGTGCACGAAGCCAGTCGTTTTGCTGAATTATGGAAAACTGAAGAAGTCTGTCAGCCACTAGGCAAAATACACCCAAGCCAAGGCTGGAAAGAAGAGACTCAGCACCACAAGACCGCAGCAAAGCCCGGCTCTTCTCTGTCTCCGACGCCATCCCCGATGGGTGTCAGTATGCCCCAGAAGACATCTGGGAACCAGCCACTTACTGCTGCTGGGAAGGCTCCTGGTCCCGCTGATGGGGAAAGCAGAGAGTGTGAGCAGAGTCACTGGCTACCATGTGATACTTTATGTGTTTATTTATTTACTTACTTATTTGCTAGCTTTTAGGGGCCAGAACTGGCAGTGCTCAGAAGTTACTCAGGGCTCTGCACTCAGAAATCACTCCTAGCAGTACTCTTGAGAGCCTCAAGGCAAACACCCTTCCCTCTGTATTATCACTCTGGCTGCCATTTGACACTTAAACAAAACAGCAGCAGCAATAATTTCTCAACTATGGGGGCCTAGCTGGTAGGGCATTTGCCTTGCATATGGTGGACCAGGATTCTGTCCCCGGTCTCCCATATGGTCTACTGATCAACACCAGGAGTGATTTCTAAGTGCAGAACCAGCCAGGTGAAACCCTTGAGCATCAGTGACCAAAAAAGCACAGCTGGGCCCCACTACTGAACCATCAGGTCCACAGAGCTAGCCAAGTATTGCCAGAAATATCCCCAGCCTTCCTAAGCACTTCTTGGAGCCGTACCTCCACTCCCCAGGAAACTCCCCTAAAAGATACTGGGTAATTCAAAGGCTGGCCTGGTTTCAAGAACCTGGCTTCAGATTAGGCTTCCAACTCCTAATAAATAAAAGGAATAAAAGATTCTTGGAAATAAGCATCTCTTCACTCTCAATAAGAAATTTAAAATGGGACAAGTTATGTGTCTAATTTGCTGAGTCCAGTTCATATACCCATTTCCAAGCTTCAAGAGAGATTGCAAACAGTAATATTTGGCCTTCTTGGCAGGTAGGAAAGGTGGGATGTCTTCTTTCATGATGTGTTAGAAAAAGAATCTAAATAAAAGTCTCTAATCTCCAAATTAAATAAGTGTACATAGGTTCCATTAATTTTGTGTTAATGAGAAAAATAATTACTTTGCAAAAACTATTTTGCTAATGACAATACATTTACACTAATTCTCAAATTCTTGGTCATTTGCAATAACAACAGCTGTTCTCTAGAGCAGTGCTTCTCAGCCAGGGTCCATCTGGCTCCCTGTGAGTCCCCAGGATGTTCCAGCGGGACATAGGTAAAAGCTGCATGCATGGGGCTCAGAGAGAAGGTTAAGGTGCTTGCCTTGCATGCCATCAACTCAGGTTCAGTAGTCTCCCGAGCACTGCCTGGAGTGATCCCTAGCAAAGAACCAGGAACAAGCCTTGAGCACAGCCAGATGTGGCCTCAAACCCAAACCAAACCAAAAAAAAATGTATAATTGGGGGGCACAAGACTACAGGGTCAACTATAGGGCAAGGGGGCACAGGAAAGAAAGGATGGAAGGGGACCCCTCCATTGAGGAAAAGACTGAGAAACACTGGGCAATCAAACTTAGATTATGCTCTACAGATTCCGCTAAAATTAAAAAAAAAACACTAATAATTTCGAAGTTACTTACAAGTAAAGGATATGACCAAAATGCAACAAATGCACAAGACATCCATAGATCCTGAACCTTCCTATAAACCCAGGATTTATAGACCTATAAATTCTGAGTCATTTATCTCTACAAATAAGCACTAGACACTCGAATGGATAAGAAGTCTATGTGCTTGACAGTTTAGTATGGATAATTTTAAAGTTTATTTAAAAAACCCCTTTGAGGACCTCCTGCTTACTGCTGCACCATCCCTGATGAGGCTCGCCTCTGGCTGGCATCATTGAAACTATTCCCAATGGGAGAAAGTGGGAAATAGTCTGAAAAGAAATGAACAACAAACTAAAGAACTATGGGATGAATTCAAGAGCAACACTGTAACAATATAAGAATATTGGACTCCCTGAAGAACAGGAAGGCAGGTATGAGGTAACTACAGTTAAAGAAATCATCTAGATGAAATTCCCAGAATTGAGGAGTATGAGCAAGGAGATTCAAGGGGCTGGAAGGGTCCCGTTGAAAATAGACCCAACTAGGAAAACTCCAAGACATATTATTCTCACAATGACAAAAATCTAAAGCTAGAGACAGAATATTGAAAGCAGCAAACCAAAAAAGGAATTTATACGCAGAGGAAAGCCCAATGAGATGTACAGCAGATCTTCTACAAATAGATGTAGATCTTCTACAAATAGAAGAACATAGAAAGGTACAAAAACTCAATGAACTAAACACTTCACCAAGAATACTCTGCCCAGCTAAATTATTCAATTTGGATGGACTATATAGAGCTTTATGGACAGGCAACAGTTCAGGGAATTCATAGCCTTGAAACCAGTTTTGCAAGAAATTTTAAAAGGCTCCTATAAAGGGCAGGAGAAACTTCCCACCGTGTGGCATTGAGTATGGCACTCACTAATGGTGTATGTGGTTGTCCTCTACTAGATTAAGAAAGGTTAAAAGCATACAGCAATTAATCATCACAAATTGACTTTTATAAATTTATTTTCTAATAATTAAAAAAATAATAATTTTTCATTCTTTTAAGGGTTTCTTAGACCAAGTAATAGGAAATAAATTTGTTATATGCCTGCCGAGGGGGCAGGCTGGGGGATGGCAGGGGCCCTGGGTCACTGGTGGTGGGATTGCCAACACTGTTTGGCTAAAACAATTCCATTAAATTACAGTGCCTTAAAAATAAATACATGTGAAAAAATCCCTTTGAATCAAATATAAATATAAATGCTAGTATTGCCTCAGATGGATGGAAACTGGAACACAGATGCCTGAGATAACAACTAATGGAGAGGAGCAGGAGCAGGAATACTGCTCTGCTTCAGTAAGCATGGCCTAGCCCTTAAGCCAGCCTTCTTCAACTCTTTTATACCTGCGCACTGGCAGCTCTAAACAAGGCAAGGTGTTTGTCAACCTTTCTGCACCTGGGGACCAGCACCGCTTGGGGCCACTGGTGGTTGAGGAACGCTGCCTTCGACCTCAGGAGAAAGGCAGCCAATCGACGGGGATGGTAGCGAGAACACAGGCCAGGAACAGACTACCCAGAACTCTAACAGAAAAGCCCTGCTACCATCCAAACCATCTTCATGTAGGTCTTTAATGACAAGGTTATTTCCAAGCTTATCTCAGAAAACAGATAAAAATAAAAGGCTATTATCAACTTAGTTGCAAATTGCATAAAGCCACTGCATGATTTCCATTTTCTTCTAATTTATGAGACAACTTTATCATCACACAATATATAAATATCCCTCACCTTACATTTTAAATGATGAGTTTAGACTCTAAATGGATTTAGTGCCAATGGATTCCAGAAACTCTTGGAAAACTGAAAAGAGCTTTAAAGCTATTTTCCATATTCCTTGTAAATTCCTCAGGATAGGTTTCCTTAAGAATGGTTATAGGATCAGAGTAAGAGTACAAACAAGTAGGGCGCTTGTCTTGCATGCGGCCATGCCAGGTTTGATCCCCTGCCCTGACAGGAGTGATCCCTGAGCACAGAGCCAGGAGTAAGTCCTGAGCATTGCTGGGTGGGCCCACCCTGCCAAAAAAGGAATAGTCATAATTTTCCTTTAAACTAGTATTGCATAAATCCTAAAGTGCTCAAGAGTTTTAAAATATTTCATTTAAAATATTTCATTTTATTAACAAAATGAGTAAGCAATCCACAGCCTATGACCAGAAACATTTGGAATGAATTACAATTCATATCATAAATTAATATGACTTGTATGAAATACTGTCTACGAAAGGTCACTTTCACTCACCCTCATAGCAAAATGCCATTAACCACAGTGCCTTCAAAAGATTCCTAATCGTTATCTTCCGTTTCCTGCCACCCATAATATATATTGTATATCCAAAGCTTCACCATTATCCAAATGATATTCTTTATTTAAAATATTTTATTAGAGTTTAGGTAATTTGGTTACAATAGTGTTTTTAAGTTGGAACTGGACAGTGAGTAGGGCACTTGCCTTGCCCCAGCCAACCAAATTTGGTCCACAGCACCCCATATGGTCTACCCATCACCACCAGGAATGATTCCTGAGCCAGCAGTAACCCTGAGCATCGCTGAGTGTGGTGATAAAAACAAATTTAAAAAAGTGCTTAAGTTTTTAAGTATTGATGTACATCTTTTGTTTCCTTCACAAACTACCCAGTTATCTAATTCTTTATCACTGTACATTGTTAATAATCTTAGGCAGTATTTCTGCTTGCTTAAAGCAAATAACAAATTTCCAGTGTAAATATCATCATCTGCTTCAAACCAACGGGGACCCCAGCTCCCGAATATTTAGTAAAACCTGAGATTTAAAAAGAGCAGTTTAAAATTATGTAATTGATTTTAACTGTGCCTTTAAAAACAAGTTTGCCTTTAAAAACAGTATTGAGGGGCCCGAGCCATAGTACAGGTGTAGGGTGTTTGCCTTGCAGGTGGAGGACCAGGGTTCGCTCTCAGGCATCCCATATGGTCCCGCTAACATTGCCAGGAATAATTCCTGAGTGCAGAGCCAGGCCTAAGCCCTGAGAATCGCCGAGTGTGGCCTCAAAACTAAACCAAACCAGCCAACCACACAAATAAAATACAAGTCAATTGAACTGTAGTGGCTGCTAAGAGCAAATGCCAAATCCAACGCAGCTAATTTGCAGAAGAATTTGCAAAAAAAAAGTTGACTTTTATTCTTTATATACCTTGCATATAAAATGTTCATTTTCTACTACAATACGAATAAAACACACATTCTTAGCTTTAACTAGTTTGTTTGGGGCGACACCTGGAGGTGCTCAGGTCTCTGGAGGCAATGCGCAGGGGTAGATGACTTCCCTATCACCCCGGGTTCCCGCTTGCCACGCCTAATCTCGGGCACTCTGACCATCGCCCACGCCTTCGACTTTCAAGTTTCGACAAATTCCCAGTAATTCTTATGCTCATGTTGATGTGATGCAACGAGGTTGCTGTCGTTTAAGCCGATAAAGAAAACGTTGTAGACGCCCTGGCACCCGCAGCAAGCGGGATCCGGGAGCATGCCCACCTCCGCAGACCCCGGATGAGAAAGGCGCTCAAAGCCCTGCAGGT